CAGTGGAGGGAGACCACCACATTGTTGTCACATGTTCTTCACCCTCCATGTTCGCCAACAGCACATAGGAAGCAGCACCAAATCCGGGAGTGAGTTCAATTGCTTTTTCATGCTCTAATATAGAGATATGTATGAGCAGATTCTCAGTACAGATCTGGATATACAAAGGCCTATTAGATGACATTTCTCACACAATACTGATCCAGGAGAGTGAAATGTCATACTTGTTTCTGTTTTTAGCATATTAAAAATGGCTGTTTTGCATTTATGATATGATCTTTTTCTTAAAAATTTTTATATTTCTTTAATATTATTTTTGAAATTTCTGGTGTTATTAAAATATATACTTTCCTCAGTGAATGTGGATCAAAGCAAGCTGAGCCTGATTGATTTAGGGAGCTGTGTGGGGGAGAGGGAAGAAAGCAACTGTGGAGTCTGCCTTGCTGAGCTTGGAAACTTTATCACAGCCAATCTCAACAGACATAATCACATCCCTAATAGGTATGACTATGTATATCTCAATTATAAACATAGGAAATTACTAATAGTATATGAAAATAAAGCACAGTAATTTAATTAAGTAAAAAGCAATTAAGTAAATTTAATTATCAGTGATAATTTCTTCATTACAGGGGAAGTAAATTAGCCATGCTTTTGCAAGACTCTCTGAGCAATGTCAACTGCTCCACCACAATTATTGCCCATATATCCACCTTGTCTGAAGACCTTACAGAAAGCCTTTGTACGATGCAGACGGTGACTCGAATGCGAAGTCAGAAAAAGAAGATAAGGGTATGCCTATAGACATGCTCACCAGTTTTTAGGTTCTGTTCATTTAGACCATGCTTTACTTTTTATATACATGTAAATCCTTTATATATAATATTATATATCTCGTATAAGTTATAACATGTCTGTTTATTTATTTTTTTAATTATGGACATGTTCTCCACTTTTCAAGTTCTGTGAATTTAAGCTAAGTTTTTCATTTTTGCTTTTTTTTTCAGAAATCTTCCTCAAGCTCGCCTGGAGGAAGAAACTTAGGCAACGAGAGGAAATTTAATAATTCCACTAAGCTAAGATTCCAATCTACAGGGACACTGGATCAAGATCTCTCCTCTCCTGGTTTCTCTAGTGATCCAGCATTTTATCCTGGGAGTGATACGTCTTGTGATACCATTATCTCTGTGGATCCTTCTGGCCTCCTAGATAAAGAAGTTACAAATAGAAGCAGAGAGGTTTTGCCTATTATTCCATCCTTACTCAAGAGCAAATTGGAGTCCAAGAAGCTCTCGCTGATGACGTTTTGTGAAATCTCTCCACCAGTTGCCAATCGCATGAAGCAGATATCAAAAGAAAAGGCTAAAGAAGAGTCAACACCTACAATATTGCAAGATAAATCAGATTTTGAGTGTCTGAAGTGCAACACATTTGCAGAACTCCAGAATCGACTGGGAAACATAGATGTAACAGAGTCAGATCTATGCAAAGATCAGGAAGTGAATGCTATGAACAAATCACCTCACTTAAGCCAAACCGAGAAGCAGTCCAATTCAATAGACATTCAAGCATCAAACAACAGAGAATCCAATAGTACCAGACAAGGAAACTCCTCAAAAACATTTGCGATAATTCACAACAGTGAAGAAACTCCAAGTACCGCCAACTTTCAGATTATTCAGAAATGTCTGCCACAGTTAGATGTCGTCAAACCAATTGATCCCATGCTATCTAGCCAATCTCCTAGCAAATCTAAGCCTCATAATAAAATAATGAATGTGATGCCCACTTCACTATCTTTGAAATTGGAAGACCAAAGTAAAATGAGAATATTTGATGATTCTACAATGCAATCTGAGACACGAATTTCTCCCATCGGCAAGAGTTCTCCGAGATCTACCTCATCCTCTTCTTTTTCATCATCCCTATCTTCTAGTTTGAGCTCCCCACCGGCTGTTTCTGCCTCTTTGAATGAAGACATTCCACATTGTACAGGAAAAAAACAGAGAGAGATGAGGGCCACTATCACTGTGACTGTTCAGAAGCCGCTGGATCTTAATGGACATGATGAGCTTGTCTATACCGTGGTTGAGGAGGTAACAATAAATGGGGCCACTGAGCAAGGAAAGGCACAAATATTAAGTATTCATGAGTCGCACTCTCTCCAGGCTTTAACGCCAGGAAGTCAGTCTGTCAGGATTATCGGCAGCATAGGTGAAGAACAAACAGCGAGTTTTTGTAGTTCCGACTCTAATACACAAATTTCAGAGAATGAAGTCTCCATGGCCTCATCAGATGCAGCTGTAAAACACACAAAAATCAATGCACATATTGACAAGGCAAGTGACTTCATTGATTCGAAAAACCTGCCGCAGCATGATACTTGGTCTGAGGTGCCCCTGACTGAAGATGTGAAGGAGATACGTAAAGGAGACATTGTTAAACTTGACCCTCCCTGTGAGGTCTCCAAGTCTAGAAAATATGCTTGTGAAATTAAACCTGAGCAGAGCTGGATGTGCCAAAACAACAAGAGAGACGTCAAGGATGTCCCTCACATGAAAACAGAACAAAAGAACCCACATAGTCCAAGAGAAACTTATGAGAAGAAACAGTATACCAAGAAAGACAGTCTTGTGGAATGGACCAAAGACAATATGCCATCAACGTCAACAAATAGTCCCAATCTCAAGAGAAAAGAGACAAAAGAAGAATCTGGAATAGCCGGAAGTGCAATGCTATACCTGGCTACTGAAACTAAGACCAACACTAAATCTCATTTTGAGGAGAGCAGCAAGTTGTTTAATGCAAAACGGAAAGCATTATCCGGCAGGAGCCAAACTTGGGATCATAGGAAGAGCGGGCGCTTAACAGGAAGCTTGGAAGGTAATTCTAGCTCAAGACTTAAAAGCAAGTTCCTCGAAGAGACTGCTTTCATCAATATGGCTCCGAAAGGCCTTTTAGATGAAGATTACATTTCAGCTCAACCCAGCCCTCTAGGTTTTAAAGAAGACTTTGAGGACTTTGTAAGGTGTCGAGCTAGTCAGAGTCTCGGGAGGGTTCCACGGTTCTTCCCAATGCATGATGCCAATGATGCAACCCGGCCATCTAAAAACGGTTACTCTAAGAGCACATTTGTTAATAAATTCATGCCTAGTTCAAAGATCCACAAGATGCCAATCTTGTCTCCCAAACCCTCTAGACACTCAATCAACAGGAGCTCAAGCTTTTCTCCTAACGGAGCACCTGTCAGCCAAAGCTCCTGGTCAACACTCTCCCTATCCCGAAGTCAAGACAACAGTGGTTTGAAGTCACCCGGTGCAGTCCGGCAAGGAAGAGCTGAGCTTTTAAGAAGCAGTAGAGACTCGCTTTCTGCTTTTAGTCAAGGTGGGTCTGATTTAGATGAATGTGAGGAACTGGGGACGATGAAAACTTTCGTTCACACATTGCCGTCCCCATATAGCCGGATCACAGCTCCACGGACACTACACCATTGCAGCGGCCATGCCAGCGATACCACCAGTGTTCTCAGTGGAGAGCTGCCTCCTGCCATGTGTAAAACAGCTTTACTCTATAACAGGGTCAGTAGCGGCTATGAAAGCATGCTTAGAGACAGTGAAGCTACAATCAGCAGCAGTTCAACCCACAACTCCATCAGCGATCAGAGCTGCTCGCTTGGTGCTGCTAAAGGCATGAGAAGTACAAAGAAAAGAACCAACATAGGTAAGGATTTTTTTTTTTAAATCAATGCATTCTGGCATAAAAAACAATATGGTCAGCAGTATGGTCAGTAGCGGCTATGAAAGCATGCTTAGAGACAGTGAAGCTACAATCAGCAGCAGTTCAACCCACAACTCCATCAGCGATCAGAGCTGCTCGCTTGGTGCTGCTAAAGGCATGAGAAGTACAAAGAAAAGAACCAACATAGGTAAGGATTTTTTTTTTAAATCAATGCATTCTGGCATAAAAAACAATATGGTCTTCACTTGTCTTTGTCCACAGGGTCCAGTCTAAGACTTCCATCCCAAGAAAACCTCCTGTCGCTGAAGAGATCCGTCAGTGGGGCCGAAACGCACCGGGTGGATCGGGGTGGTTCCGACTCTTATGAAATTAAAGTCTATGAGATTGATAATGTAGATGGCGTACAGAAGAGAGGTGGGGCAGGGAACAAGGTGAGGTTCAAAATGTGTCAATGAAAAAAAATTGTCTGTCTGTCTGCTTTGTATTTCATTTACAAACTGCTGTCTTTGCATGGTCCATTAAATTGGTAGTGCTTGATTCTACTCTTACAGTTTTCTGAATTGCTTAGACACAAAAATCTGTTATTTAGCCAATTAACTTAACTTGCAACACTGTTTTCTAAAAGTAAAGGCTGGGATATCTTACATGACTTTTACCTAGATTTTTACCCTGATTTGCAGTCCGGAGGAGAGCGTTAGTTGGCAAAAGTCAAAGCAGTCAGAGTTTTGGCGCGCATTTGTTTATAATGATTTTAAAAGTCATGTAGTGTATTCCAGTCTTAAGACTAATTTCTCAAAACTTAAAACCATTGTTGGTTTGTTTTTTAAACTCTGACCCAAACTAGATACAAGATATTGATTCAGAATAAATGTGATTTTATATTGTTTATACATACTATTTTTGTTCTATTTCTGAAGAATATGCAACTTTTTGTTGAAAATTTTGGAAATATTTTACATTATTTTGTTTTTCAAATGTGTTATTTGTTATTTGTATATTTCTATATCAACAATGCATTGTACATATTCAGGAAATTTTGACAATGTTGTGTTCTCATATACTCTTTCAAATACAATTTTTTCAAAGTAGTAAAGGAACTTTTTCTCAAATGGTGCTTAATCTAATCAAAACAATATTGTTATCACAAAACCAAAACTGTATGTTCAGGAATGTATGGTCTTTTTTTTCTTTCTTTTTGTGTTCTTATTTTTCACTTTAGTTTATGTAGTAGTATTGTGTTGCAGAGTAAAATGTATAGTTGCTCATTCATTGTAGTAAGCGTTCATGGTCGTATTGTTTTAAATAAATTTCACAGTGTGTAATTCAGTGTATCTGTGTATTTGATGGCTTTGTGGGACAAGATTTGAATTAGACTGAAGATAGCTGAATACAGTGTTTGATTTTGTTTTAAAAGACTGTCTGTATATATGTTATAGAAAAACTATTATTACTTTAATATAAAAACCTGTGGTGTAATGGTAGGCCAAATGCTAATCTCAGGTCACTCACATTTTATATGGAGGCAAACTTACATTTTGTCACCCACGTTTTCAGGGTATAGTCCTCTTTAGTGCAAAGCTGAAATTCCTGGAGCATCGACAGCAGAGAATAGCAGAGGTGAGGCTCAAGTATAATGCTCTCAGGCGAGAGTTGGAACATGCCAAGCATCATCTGATGTTGGACCCTGGAAAATGGACCCGTGAATGTAAGGGTTAATATGTTTGCTTATGTACATTAAGTAAATTTAAGCACTACAGTAGGATAGAAAACTGTAGGGTTGTTTATGGTTCTGCTTAAACTCCATATGTGTCCTATCAATAATTACTATGCTATTTGTGTGATATATTTTGCAGTTGACTTATGGCAAACGTTTGAGGTAGACTCCCTGGAGCACTTAGAGGCTTTGGAGCAAGTCACTCAACGGCTAGAGCGTCATGTTAACCTCTGTAAAGCGCATGTCTTGATGGTCACCAGCTTTGGCGTTACACCCAGATGCAGACAAAAGTTGCGGCATCGGCCGACGGTAGATCATGCAGCGTTCGTTGGAATATAGCATGCCAAGATGTTACATGATCACTTTTACATGTTATGCAATATATTTAATGATATGCGTGTAAATGTACGGGGACACTGTGATGGAACAAATAGGAAGGGAGGAAGAATGCTTTTGGGGTCTCTACCCCGAGAAACTATCCACCGGCAAACTTTGCACTCGCTCGCAGCTCGCTGAAATACAGTAGCCTACAGTTTTTCATCCCATCTCATATTTCATATTTCCATTACAAAAGGTTTTGCGAGCGAACGCAAAGTTTCTCGGGG